TGATTGATCTTGATCCAGTACAATTGTCTAGTCACAGCCAATATGGCACAGAACGTGGAGTTCAAAATGATGAACACACTGAGGATGATTTGAATGTTCCTGATCATGCTGATGAAGAGGATGCAATGTCACAAGATGAAAATCTTGAATTTGATCATCCTGAGTCGTCTCAAGCTCCACTTAGAATGTCTTTCCGACAGAGACTACCATCTAGAAGGTATCCATCTAATGAATATATTACTTTAACTGATGCAGATGAACTTGAGTGCTATTCAAAAGAAGTTGAAAGTGAAGAAAAGCAAAAGTGGTTGGATGCGATGCACGATGAAATGAAATCTTTGCATTATAATCACACTTTTGACTTGGTGAAACTACCCGATGGAAAGAAGGCCTTGGAATACAGATGGATCTTTAGGAAAAAACATGAGAATCATTCTTCATCGCTAAGATACAAAGCTACGCTAGTGGTGAAAGGTTTTAGATAGAGGAAAGACATCGATTTCAATGACATATTCTACCTGGTAGTGAAAATTTCATCTATCAGAATAGTATTGAGTCTTGCTGCTACTCTTGATTTGGAGGTTGAGCAGATGGATGTTAAAACTGCCTTTCTGCGCGGGGATCTTGAAGAAGAAATATATATGAAGCAACCGGACGGTTTTCTTTTTAAAGGCAAGGAAGACTTTGTCTGTAGGTTGAGAAAGAGCTTATATGGTTTGAAGCAAGCTCCAAGACAATGATATAAGAAGTTTGAGTCTGTCATGTGCGAACACGGCTACAAGAAGACTATTTCTGACCATTGTGTCTTTGTTCGAAAATTCTCTAACGATGACTTCATTATTCTATTGTTGTATGTCGATGACATGCTTATTATCGGAAAAGATTTTTTCAAAATTGACAGGTTGAAGAAGCAACTGAGGGAGTCATTTGCTATGAAGGACATGGGAGCTGCTAAACAGATTCTTGGTATAAGAATCACTTGTGACAGAAAAGAGAGGAAGCTTTGGTTGTCACAAGAACACTACATCAAGAAGGTGCTGCAGAGATTTCGAATGGAAGATGCTAATGCTGTGAGTACTCCTTTTCCTTCTCATATCAAGCTAAGTGTTGAACAAAGTCCCTCAAATGAAAATGAGAAATTTGATATGGTGCAAGTTCCTTATGCATCTGTTGTGGGAAACTTGATGTATGCAATGGTGTGCACAAGACCAGATCTAGCACATGCCGTTGGTACAGTCAACAGATTTCTATCTAATCCGGGCATAGAACATTGGAATGCAGTGAAGTGGATATTCAGATATGTTTGTGGTACAAGTAGTTTGAAACTTTGTTTTGGAGAAGATAAGCCTATTCTTGTGGGATATACAGATTTAGACATGGCTGAAGACACTGATTCCAGACAGTCCACTTCAGGCTATTTGGTTAAGTTTGCAAGGGGAGCTGTGGCATGACAATCTAAATTGCAGAAGTGTGTTGCACTATCGACTATTGAGGCGGAGTTCATTGCCATCACAGAAGAAAATAAGAAGTTGCTTTGGGTAAAGAAATTCTTGCATCAACTTGGTTTCGTTCAAGACAAGTACGTTCTGTTTTGTGATAGTCAAAGAGCCATTTATCTCGGTAAGAATCCTACATTTCATTCTAGGTCCAAGCATATTGATGTAAGGTATCATTTTTGGATACGTGATGTCTTGGTTGCCAAGGCATTGAAATTGGCTAAAATTCATACTGATGAAAATGGTGCTGATATGATGACGAAGCCATTTCCAATGTGGAAGTTCGATGTTTGTTGCCAAATCGCCGGTTTGGCAATTATCTTCACATAGTCATGATGGGGAGATTTATTGGGCCGGTTCACTCTTATGTAGACTATTTTTTTTAGCCCAATTTTTAAGTCCACTTGCAAGCCATATTATGGCAAGGACTGCAGCACAACAAAACAAGCCCTAAATCAATTTAGAACACAATATACCGTCGAGCCGCCACATTCCCGCAACACACTGCGCAGCTTCAGAGAATTGACGATTCCCGCTTCGTCGACCGTTTGATCAGAGTGAATTTGGATACAAGGTTTGTAACACTCTGTTCTTGGATTTTACCGGTTGAATCGTTGTTTGGAGGTCTGTAGCTTGAGGTATTTGAGGCAGACGGAAGTAGTTGTTTTTGGGGAATAATTTGGTCATTTCTAGTTATTTTGTGTTGTTGCTTCATTTGATTAGTTTGAGATTGTTGGTGCACTATTTGGTGCTATTGCTTAGAACATTTTTGTACCCGGATTTGATTATAGTGTAGCTGTTTTCATTGGTCTGGACGACCCGTGGTTTTTTCCTTCGATTTGAAGGGTTTTCCACGTTAAAATTGCCGTGTCTCTTGCGTTGTTGAATTCTTATCTTTATTTGATATTATACCTCCTAATTGATTCTTGTAAGGTTGGATTGATTTAGTCCTATCAATAAAATATCATACATGTCAAATTTATTTCATCTATATTTTAGAATATGGTAAATATTTAACTGATATATTTTATTGATTTCTATAATTATTAGTGATTATTAATGTTATGTCATACAAATAACTATCACAATTTAAATTATTCTTTAATTATATCTATTTTATTTTTCTAATAAACCTATTAATTAATTGTATATTCATAATATATAATTTTAAATTTTGGTACATATGTCTTTCTAATCATATACTCCCTCCGTCTCAATACAATAATTTTGTTTACCATTTTTGTCCGTCTCAAAACAATAGTCTCATTTCCATAAATAATCATATCACTATAAAATTACCCTTACTTTTTCATTATTATTACACAATTGTCACTATTTTTTACACTAATACACTCAAATGGGAAAAAAGTCTTTTACCTGTATTTTTTACCTACTACCAATATAATATCAATATTTCTTAAATCTCGTGCGAAACAAAACCCAGACTATACTTTTGGGACGGAGAAAATATTAAAAAATAAATATTATTGCTTTTTAGGGTCATTAAAAATAATTCTATCAAATAAAAGTTTGTCACAATATTTGACATGAATATATACATATATATATATTTTTATTATTTAGATATATATGACTACACGTAAGGCAAATTTGCCATTGAAGTATTTTAAAGCTAAATTGCTTCAATATTTTTTATGGAAAAAATTTATTGCTATTTTTGCTATGAAAATAGTTATGAATATATAATATTTTTTATTTTTTATTATATTATGTGACAAAGTATGTAGCAATTTTGTTATATAACTATTTTATAGCAAATGTGTTATATAACTATTTTATAGCAAATTTTTATAGTTATATAAATGTTTTCTTGTAGTAATTATTAAGTTCATGTACTCTACCATTATTAATTCAATTTTCTTTTTTATTAAAAAGATTACTAATATTTTATTTTAAAAGTTATATTATGATAAACTTATAATTTTTTTTTATTTCGTAATTATTATTGAAATGGTAATACTTAAAAACTATCAACAATTTATTTTATTATTTATTTAAAAATATTATCGCAAAGTCTACGACAAATCTTATAGATTATTAATAATATTTATTCAAAAAATTAGAAAAATATATTGTTTTCTTAATATATTTTTCAGCATAATGTATTATTCAAAAGATTTATGATCAAAAAATAAAAAAAATTAGTGCGGAATGCCGCAAGACAACTAAAGTATAAATAAAATATTGTTGTGGATAACCGTAACAAATTTAAAAGATTAATTATGAAAAATAAAATTAAGATAAATTATATATTCAACACCTATGTTTTCATAAATATGCATGAATTCAATGTGTAAAATAAATTATTTCAAAACATCCGTTGTTATGGATATTTTGCAGACGCTTCTTTTTCAACAACGAAGTTAAATAAATTTGAAAAAAATGACCGTTATGTCCTCTCATTCTATTCCATTATATGAAATTAATAAAATTAATTAATTAATATTTTTGACACAAAATTAAAACAAAAATAAGCAAATAAACCAATCGCGATCACATGTATATTACATTCCCCCAATGTCCAATTTTTCAAATAGGGATTGAAATTAGGGTTTCGAGTAGCATTTGACATTCTCTGGTGATCGACGCATTCTTGGGCCACAAATTTGGTGTCAGTCATGGAATTCTAAATTCTTTTTTTTTTTTTTTTTTTGAGATCGGAAATGGAATTTTAAATTCTTACCTAGACGAAGAATTGCTTGTGCTATTTCGGAATGCGTTGCTCGCTAATTTCTTGTTTGTTGGGAACTTCTGCGAACAAATAGAAAAAATAAATACTTTAACAACTATTGTTGCCAAAATCCGCAACAATTAAATTATATGTAATTATTATTAAATATTCAAAAAAAATTATGACAATACATTATTAGGCAACAAATTTTCCGCAATAATATCATATATATATATATATATTGGTAGTGATATACATCCGCACGGATATAACACTAAATCTTATGAGATCATCTGTCAAAAAAATTAAATCTTATTTCTCTATCCCTACACACATAATATAGATATACACACTTATTAACGAAATAGGAAATATGATGTATTAACAAAACAACGGATCTGGTCTGTAGTTAAATATATTATATATTTTTTGTATTCAAAATATTTACTGCTGGACTTACTCATGCAAATCCACTTGTAACAGTTCCCTGATCTATAGGCTACACTTAACAAAAAACAACCCACAACAAACCATGCATGCAAGAAACATCTCAAGAAGTATTCATCCTTATCTTCATCAAGAAAATTTAACCTTAATTAATTTCATCGAGCTCATCAGGATTCATGACAATTCATCCTTAGTTTGATCGGACGCCCAATCCCATATTTTCCCAAAACATCACATCTTCTCTCTTACACACCTAAAAATAACCATTGTAGGGGTCACCGGAAATGGCCGAGGAGGAGCATTGGACGCCACCAATGCCCCTCTCTGCTGCGCCACCACCGCCATCGTCAATGGTTGCCTTGGAAATGGAAATGCCATTGTCCAAATTCGAACACGACGATTCTGAGGTGTTGCACGATGCGCCGTCATCCTTGCTGGCAAAGGACGACGAGGAGGGCGAGGGCGGCGATTATCCTCGGATGCGCGGATTTGAGGATGTTAAGACAATGGTGGCAATAGAGTCGATGAAGCTTTGGGCGATCGCGGGTCCCATCGCCTTCAACATTTTGTGTAACTATGGCATCAACTCCTTCACCTCCATTTTCGTTGGGCACATCGGCAACTTGGAGCTCTCCGCTGTCGCTATTTCTTTGTCGGTCATTGAAAACTTCTCCTTCGGATTCTTGGTCCGTCTCTCTTTCGTTACGTTACGTTACGATTGTCTTGGTTTGATTTTTTTTTCGCATGTAAATTGCATTGCAATAGTTAGTTTCGATCATCCATTAATCAAAATGCTTGAAAGCTCAAAGTAGTTGTCGATCTACTAATTAAGGCTTAAATAGTAATTTGATGTTTCGTGAGATTGTATAGTAGAAAAATAGAAATTAAATTTCAAAAGAAAGAAGATTAAAAAAAAAAAAACAAAATTGTTCATAACTATGTGTAGTTTCAAAATTCAGTGTAAAATATCTCTAACACCAACGTTGCATGAAATCCCACCATCATTAAACTTTTCTTGTGTGATAGAGAAAATATTTTCCTATCTATATATTTTGCATAACGGGGTTTCATGCAAGATTTTTTAAAGTACAAAAAGCATTATGCAATTCCTAAAATAAAGTGAAGATTTACGCTGAGTATTGAAATCACAGAGAGGTTTCATGCAATATTTTTTAAAGTATAATAGGACGTCGTGCAATTTTTAAAGTAAAAAAAAAGATTTACGCTGAATTTCGAAATTATAAAAAAGTTACGTGCAATTTTACCAAAAAAAAAATACATGGTTTTTACGGTACTAGTGAACGAATGAACAGTTTGGCATGTCGAGTGCCCTGGAGACATTATGCGGGCAAGCATTCGGAGCGGGAGAAACAAAAATGCTGGGGATCTACATGCAACGGTCGTGGATAATCCTGACGGGCGCTTGCATTTGTATGTTGCCTCTCTACACTTACTCGACGCCGATTCTCAAGCTACTAGGGCAGCGAAAGGACATCGCCATTTTGGCGGGAGAGTTTTCGGTGAAGATCATTCCTCAGATGTTCGCGCTGGCGCTGAACTTCGCGACGCAGAAATTCTTACAAGCTCAGAGCAAAGTCCGAATTCTAGCGTGGATCGGGTTGGTAGCGTTGGTGTTCCACGTGGGATTTCTGATGCTGTTCATGAAGGTGTTGGATTGGGGGCTGAGCGGAGCTGCGGCGGCGTATGACGTGTCAGCGTGGGGGGTGGCTCTAGCTCAGGTAGCTTACGTGGCGGGGTGGTGTCCCGACAGCTGGACGGGGTTGTCCCCTCTGGCGTTTAAGGAGATTTGGGCGTTTTTGAAGCTGTCTTTAGCTTCGGCGGTGATGCTGTGCTTGGAGATTTGGTACTTCATGAGTATAATCGTCATGACCGGACATCTCCCGGATCCTGTGCTCGCCGTTGGATCTCTTTCGATCTGGTACCCATCCTATCTAACATCCTCCGAATCACTTTAACATGATTAACTTTTCTTCACTTTAATGCCTCAAAGTATGTAAATTTACGATCCTGATGATACTATGAGTGTGTTTGTTTGTGGGTTTGGGATTTTAGATTTGGATTTTTTAATTGGAAAAATTTGAATTTGAATAGTTGTTTATAGTATAATACTCCCTTTGTCCCGGTCTAAAGGAGTTTTTTGGGGGTTTTATAGTAGATTAAGAAATAATAGTATTTTTTTAGTTAGTGGAAGTGTGTAAGATGTTTTGACATTTTTTGCCTTTTGACTTTATGTAAAAAGTAATAGTATGTTTATAATTTAAGTGAAAGTTAAGGTATTTTGGTATTGATGTATAATTACTTTTACTAAAATAGAAAATGAATACTTTGGAATAGAACAGACGAAAATGGTAAAAAAAAGTATCTTGAGCTGGGATAGAGGGAGTATAAAAAAAAGAAAAGTAATTGTTTAATTTAATATTTTTAAGAAAAAATAGGATCTGAATAGTAAAAACTTATAGTAAAATTCATAAAAGAACATAACCTATAAGTCTATAGTGACAAAGGCAAATCAACACTATAATTATTTGTCTTGATTAATACATGTAACACAAATAAATGGTACATATTTTACTTAATACAACATATGGTATATTAAATAACAGTATGTATTATCAGTTCATATGTTATACGAATATATATATATATATTTCTGATGAATTATATCTTGTGTAAGACTATATCATATGGTAGCACTTGTTTATGAGCTTTGTTTTTTAATCTATTTGTATTTGATTCATTTGTGAATTTTCTTTTTTTAGCATGAACTTGGATGGATGGGAAGGCATGATATTCATTGGAGTGACGACGGCGATAAGGTGTATGTGCGCGCAAGCACACAATTAATTTGATATTCTTATATATATATATATATCGATCATGGCTAACTTTGATCTCTTGTGTTATTTTTTGTAGTGTTCGTGTATCGAATGAGCTGGGATCGGGACACCCTCGCGCAGCCAAGTACTCGGTGTTTGTAACGGTCACCGAATCCTTTGCCATAGGCCTATTCAGTATGATGGTCGTAATAGCCACAAAAGACCATTTCGCTGTGCTTTTCACTAGCAGCGACCAAATGCAAAAGGCTGTCTCCGAATTGGCCTACTTGCTCGCCGTCACCATGGTGCTCAACAGCATTCAACCAGTCATATCAGGTAAATACAATGGTAAAAATGTATTTTATATAAATGATAAAAAATTTGGTTATGTAATCGAAACTTGTATAAAAATAGTCATACGTCTAAGCTAATTTACAATTACATCAGAAAGGTCATTTTCAATGGGAAATTAACCACCCATGTAGCAATTTTCACCGCTACCAAAAATCAAATTCACGTCGATATTTGAAGCTATTTAATTTGCCTACTTCATGTCAATTCCGGTGGTGTGATACCTTTTCAATAACTACATATTAGATAGAAGATTAGTTTTTATATAAAGGAACCAAGATGATAAAAAGTATCACATGATATTAGACATATATTTATCACTAAAAATAAATATATGTGAATTTTTCAGGAGTTGCTATAGGGGGAGGATGGCAAGGACTTGTGGCATACATTAATTTGATTTGTTACTATGTAATCGGGCTTCCCGTTGGATTTGTTCTTGGCCACAAAGCAGGATTAGGCGTACAGGTATGTATATTTATATACATATATTAGGCGGCGGCTACACTGCTGAATCTTTAAAACTATGCTGATAACACACCTGCAACATACTGTATATGTATTCATATAATATAAATACAGGACATGAACTAACAGCATGCTATAGTCTATACAACACAAGCAATACTTGATTTCAGCACACTACAGATTGTTATACAACACACTTGTACTTATGAATCAACAACACAAATACACTACATGAACTGACATCACATACTATAATAGTTGATTTCAGCACATCACAAATTGTTATACAACACACTTATAATTATAAACTAACAGCACTTCTATTTACTATATACAACATGTGTTGTGTATAATAAAATTGTGTGTTGTTTATATATATATTACGGGTGCTGATTTGAACGGTACTAAATTTTCCAAATCAGCACCCTAACCGTTTCCCACGTATCAACATTGTTTTTAATGCATGAATTCACCAATTCAGTTATCTCTTTGAAATTGTTGTTACAGGGAATATGGATGGGAATGATATTCGGAACTTTTCTTCAAACTCTAATTCTTCTCTTTATCGTCTTGAGAACAAATTGGAGCCAAGAGGTCATTTGCATTCCTTCTCTTATTTTTACTTATTCACATTCTATTCACTTTGCAATTATTTTTATTGGCAACTTATATACAAAAATATCTTATAAATTGCACTTTTAATAAACTTTTTTAAATATCTCTATTTAAAGATAATTATATATCTTATTGGTAATCTAATAATATTAACTTTACTCATCACATATACTAGTAAATTCAAAAATAATTGTTATACTTTTGTCTGGGGAATTGGATTTTATATCCACTGTTCATTCCATTTTTTTCCTCCAAAAATATCAAATCAAACACATATTTTTCATTTTTTATATTATACCAAAAATCAATTTTACATTCAAAACATCGTATCAACACTTATTTATATCACATCACACAACTATTTAAATTCAAAATTTTTACTACTCAAAATCCAAACCCCTAAACAATCACACCCTAATTGATTTGACTCAATTACTACATAAAAAAAAATTTCCGACAATATATGTTTTCAAATCATACATATTGTTTTATTTGAAAAAAATGTGATGTATCTACATATAACTTGTGATGAAATAAATGATTGTATATTCTATACTCTCTCTCTCATTCAAATTTATTCTCACTTTTTTTTTTCATCTAAATTTATTTCCGTTTCTTTTTTTAGTAAAAAAATACCATTTTTCTTTATAAAAAAAAAATTAAAAATTTCTATTCTTACATATTTTTCTTAAAACTCGTGTCCGGTCAAATGAACACAAAATTGGATGACAGAGGGAGTATAAAATGCCATGTTTGTTGTGCAGTATCAAAATATATATTGAATATTTTTACTAAATATGTTAATTGAATCAAATCAACGTTGTTATACGAACGTGAAAAAATTAGGGTGTGTTTGTTTGAAGGATTTTGGTGGACTTCTACTATTCATTCCATATTTTTCTCCCAAAAATATCAAATCAAACACCTATTTTTCATTTTTTATATTATATTAAAAATCAATTTTACATTCAAAACATCACACCAACCTCTATTTATATCACATCATACAACTATTAAAAATTTAAAATTTTTACTATTCAAATCCCAACTCAAAATCCAAACCCCCAAAAAAAACACCTTTAATTGTATTTCTATTTATTTTTTATTATTATTATTTTTAAAATTCTAAACCCCATTTTTGGATTCCTGCAGGTGGAACAAGTATCCAGAAGAATGCGTGAATGGAGCGCAGAAGATTTAGGTTAAAAAAAATGAAGGTTTAATTTATTATTATTGTTATTGTCGCTTATGTACTTATTTTTAACCAAATTTCATCCTCAGTATCTTTACGCAATTAACAATTTTAGATTATAATGAGTCTTGCACAATTAATGGAGCTGGGTTGGCTTATTTTTGGTGTTGGTTAGACAACCAAAACCAAATCTAATGCCATTTTTAAATTTATTATTATTATTTAAATTTTTTAAATTATAAATTTGACTTTTAAATTTATTTTTTATTTTTAAAAATTTTTAAATTTTTTTTTAAATTATAAAAAGATAAAGTTGTTTAAAATAATAGGAAAATTGAATATTTGAAGAATAATAGTAAAAAATAGAGTTATAATTTGAGTAAAATTATGTAGCAACTGTATATTTTTGGAGTTAAAAACTGAATAAATAAAATTGATGGGTTGGAGATAGCCTTACATGACCTTTACAAATTATTTTTAACTTTTGATTCTAAAAGAAAAATTTATTCTTACCTGTATTGATATTTCATTAAAAATAGAAGTAGTTTTTTTTACTAACATAACATAAAAACTACTCCACTTTATATATTATACTTAAATTAAAATTTAAATATAATCATATTTAATTTTTAATTGACATTTTAAATAAAAATTAAAAAAAATAGAATTAACATATTTTTTAAATATAAAAAATTTATTATATAGATAATTTAATATTTAAAATATAATTTATAATATTTAAAATAAATTATAAAATACAAACAATTTATATGAAATTAGATAAAAATTTTATTTTTATTTTAGTTATAATTATAATTAATAAAATTAAAATTAAAATTAAAAATTTAATTGATATATAGAATTTAAAAAATATTTCAAGTAGACTAGTTTAACATGTTAAATATAATTTATAAAATTTTAAAATAAATTAAAAAAATTTCAGTAGAAAGATACATTTATATAATATAATATGTATTCCCTTCCTCCCGTGAAGATGAACCCTTTTGTTACGGACACAATATTATAGGTAGCGTAGGTTATTAAGTTATTAATAATAAGTTATGAAAATATTTTATTATTTTTTATATGTGTAGCGTTATTGGTATTTTAAATATCTTTATAATTATATTTCAATAAAATATATACAATATGAATATCATTTTCTAAACAATAAAATTTTATATAATATAAATGAATAAAAATATATATTTATTTATTTATCATTACCATAAATTAGTTTTATAAAAAATGAGGAATTTTAAAAGTAGATAAAAATATTTGTTAATCGATGAGAGATGAAAATAAATGAGTTTTGAATGGATCCTACATGTGAGATGTTAGAAGTTTAATTAAATTGATTTATATTTGTTAATATGTTTAAAATTGATAAATTTACCAAAAATTAAAAAAGTCATCTTTTGTGAACGTACCATAAAAGAAATGAGATCATCTGTGACGGGATGGAGGGAATATATAAGAAGAAAAGAGAATGAAAATGAGAATGAGAGAGAAACTTTACCACAAATAAGAGAAAGACGAATATTAATGATTGTACTAATAGAATCTTATTGAAAAACTTATCATTTATCATCACATATTTGTTCCATCAATTCCCATTAAATATTAGACCCTAATTAACGGAAAGAATGAAATTTAAACTGAATATATATTTTTTTAACATAATTAATTCTAATTGAGAAATATAAGGATATAAATTAAAAAAAAAAAAAAAAAAAGGTCAATTACGGGAACATAAAATATAATTACCCCATGTTTCTTCAATTTGTTTTGAAAGAGTACTGTTTCGATTTTTTTATATTTAATCTTCTTTTTATTTTACAAAAAAACATTATATACTCTCTCTTTTTGTCTTACAAAATGAATGAATCCAACTTGTTTCGTAAGGGATGGCCTGATGGTGTGGAGATGGACTTGTGACCGCGAGGTCATGGGTTCAAACCTTCGACGCTTCAGGACATCTGTCACACATGACGCATTTCAATTTCTTTCACCAATCTGTTGAATGTTGCCGTCAGTATTGTTGCACATCGATTTCATCATTCTTTGGCAAGTCGTGAGTAAAGAAAATTTTTGGGGAAATATGTTTTGTTCTATCTCCTTTAATATATCCATCATTTAACTGACAATGCAAGCTGCATTGTCTTCATATATAGTTGTTAGGGGATTTTCGTTTTCCGATATTAACCCACAATTCCTTTTTAATATTATGGGTCATCGACCTCAGTCAAACATATTCTCGACTCGCTTTATGAATAGTCAATACTTTAACATGATTTGATGACGTGACAGTTATTGTCTGTTTTGTGGATCTCCAGGGAATCACAGTATCACCACATGTAAATATATAGCCGGTTTGTGATTTTGCTTTGTGCGGGTCAGACAAATACCCACCATCGGCATAGCTTATAACTTATGTCGAGAATCATTCGGGTAAAATAGGCCAAGATCACTTGTCCCTTGAAGATAACGCAAAATATGTTTAACCCCATTCCAATGTCGTTTTGTAGGAGATGAACTGAATCTAGCCAATAAGTTTACTGCAAATGCAATATCTGGTCTAGTGCTATTTGCTATATACATGAGTGCACCTATTGCACTGAGATATGGTACTTAAGGACCAAGTATCTCGTCATCATCTTCTTTTGGTCTAAATGGATCCTTGTTAGGATTAAGTGACCTGGCGATCATTGGGGTACTCAATGAATGTGCTTTATCTATATAAAATTGTTTCAATACCTTCTGGGTATAGGCGGTTTGGTGGATGAGCATTCTATTATCCACATATTCAATTTGCAGACCAAGACAAAATTGTCTTTCCAAAGTCTTTGATCTCAAATTTCCTTTTCAGATATTCCACGGCTGATTGGAGCTCCTCAGGAGTTCCGATAATATTGAGATCGTCGACATATACTGCAGTGATCACGAATTTTGACCCATTTTTCTTTATGAAAACACACGGGCATATTGGGTCGTTAGTGTAACCTTCTTTGGTTAAACACTCAATGAAACGGTTATACCGCATGCGTCCAGACTGTTTAAGTCCATACAAAGACTTTTGTACTTTAATAGAATAACATTCTTTGGAATTTGATTTGCATGCTTCATGCATGTAATATCCTTCAGGGGTTTTCATGTAAATATCATTTTTTAGTAAGCCATACAAGTAAGCAGTTACTACATCTATGAGACGCATATCAAGTTTTTCATGCACTGCTAGCCTTACAAGGTATCTAAATGTGATACCATCCATAACTGGGAAATATATCTCATCATAATCAATCCCAGGTTTTTGTGAGAATCCTTGGGCTACAAGTACAATTTCATTGTCTTCATTTCTTTTTCTCACAGATGCCCATTTGCACCCATCTGGCTTCACACATTCTGATGTTTGAATTATAGGTCCAAAGACATTTCTTTTGGCCAGTGAGTCTAGTTCAGACTGGATCGTATCTTTTCATTTTGGCCAATCGTTTCTTTTCCGATATTCATCAACTGATGTTGGCTCGGGATCCTTGTCATTTTCCATTATATCAAGTGCCACGTTATATGCAAATGCATTATCTATGACTATTTCATTGCGGTTCCAACTTTTATTTGTAGCGATGAAGTTAATTGAATTGTCGATAACTTTATTTTCTTCTGAGGTAGGCTCTTCAGGAGCATCTTCTTCAAGGATTTGTTCCTTGTCGCTAAAAATTGTTTGAGGGATTGAATAATTAATCGATACTCTTTTCTTTCGGGGATTCTTGTCCTTGGAACCTACAGGTCTGCCACGCTTCAGACGCATAGAGGATTCATTGGCACTTTTCATTTGTCCTTCTGGGATATTTAATTTTGTCGGAGCATTTGCTGCTGGAATATATGACTTGGTGACTCTGCTAGAGTCATTAAATGCATCTAGTAACTGATTTGCAATTTGTTGCAAATGTACAATTCGTTGTACTTCTAACTCAAACTATTATGAACGATGATCCAGAAAATTCATAGGTATTTTCCAAGAAATTTCCTTTTTCAGTTGATTTTGTTCTCCCCCTAATGTCGGGAAATTTGTTTCGTCAAAATGACAATCTGCAAATCGCCAGTAAACAGATCACCCGTCACTGGTTCGAGGTATTTAATTATCGACGGTGATTCGTACCATAGGTTCCCAATCGACGTTGGAGGCCCATTTTTTGTACGCTGAGGTGGTGCAATCAGCACGTAAAGCGCGCACCCAAAAATCCTCAAATGAGAAATATTGAGCTCTTTTCTAAACACTAATTGTGTTGGGGAGTATTTCTGATAACTTGTCGGTCTAATTCACACAAGTTTTGTTGCATGTAATCTTGCATGTCCCCAAGCAGAGACGGGGAGTTTGGATTTCATCAATAATGGTCTGAAAATTAATTCCAATCTTTTGATAAATGATTCTGCTAGACCATTTTGGGTGTGAACATGAGGAACAGGATGTTCAACAGTTATTCCCAAAGTCATGCAATAATCGTCAAATGCTTGTGATGAATATTCACTAGCATTATCGAGATGAATTTTCTTTATTGTATAATTAGAAATTTGTGCTCGCAATTTAATAATTTGTGCAAGTAACCTTGCAAACGCAATATTACGCGTAGATAGCAAGCATACATGTGACCTTCTCGTTGATGCATCAATGAGCACCATAAAATATTTAAATAGCCTACATGGTGGATCTACAGGTCCACATATATCACCCTGAATTCTTTTCAGAAATGATGGGGATCTAGTCCCAACTTTGGTTAGTGACGGCCTGATTATCAATTTGTCTTGTGCCAAATCAAAAATTCATTTGATTGCGTAGACTTCAGGTCTACTGCATATATTTCAACGGTACTTATTTTGGCATAATACAAGCCAAAGGACAATGAGGGCAGCTTCACAACTGCACATTTATTTCCATTGATGATTTTTGTAATCACCAAATATTCATTATTTGCCTCGTCCATTGTTTCAATATGATATCCGTTTCTACAAATATCAGTTAAACTCAGCAAATTTCTTCGAGCTTTAATCGAGAA